ACCCGGAGGACGGCGGGGAGAGCCGGAGTTGCCGCCTCAGAAATGAAGGTGAAACAACTTCCCACCAGACACGAGCCCGGCGCCGCACAACTTCCTATTCCTGTTGCTTTTCGCAGCGTGCTGGGGAGGCACCGGTTTGTCAGTGAGAGCCGGGAGCGCGGTCTAAGTCGCTTAAATGTTTCAGTTAGGACGTCTTTTCTGAGGAGGAGCATTCAGGGATATATATATATATATATATATTTTTTTTTTTTTTTAATCATCGCCGTATCTCCTAAGGCTCTCACATATTCATTATTTTTTTTTAAAGCCGGTGCCGGGTGCTCGTGGAATACATGTGGTGACTTAACGGCTTGAGGGCTGTGGCGGCCGCAGGGTTGTGGCTGTAAATCCCTGCAGTCAGTAAAAAACCTGATAAAATCTGTAGGAAGGGCCCATTCCCTGCCAGATGCAGAAGGGAAGGTTTGGTAGACACGCTAGATACAACCACAGGAAAATACCATGTGCTTTGGGAGGGACCTGCCTTGTCGCTGGATTGCTGGGACCCGACGCCTTGAGCCGGGGGTGGGGGGGGGCCGTACAGGGTCCGTTTTGGATGAAACACTCGTGAAATTGCCCCTGTGAAATACTCATGAGGGGTTACACAACAAAAAAAAAAAACCTTCGCATGTAAACAGTTGACTGATCACAAGCCAGGTAAGTGCTTCCTTGGGCACAAAAATAAGATTGTGTCCTGCAAGGGCAGGGGTAGCCAAAATGGATACTTAAAGTGCCAGCCTGGTGAACTGTCAGTAATAATCTTCAGTGTTCCCTCGTGAAATTCTTAACTTCATTTTAGATGTACTAACGTTTGGCTGCGTAACCAGATAGTGAAGTAATTAAAAAACACGCTGTCATTTTCAGGTTGCAGCAGAGTGAGGTTCAAGGAAGGCTGTTCTTGATGCTGTTGTGACAATGTGCTCTGAACCTCAGCAGTGTTTGGTATAATTATATATATTTGCTAATCCTTAATTAATACACACTTGCTAATACTGCAGGCTGTCTCATACAGGGAATTTGCCCGTGTGGAACAGGTTGCTGAAGTAGGGCTTTCATTTCGGAGTCTGAAAGATCTTGAACCTCCACGGTTTGCAGGTGGTGGTCGGAGGAGGCTTGCTTCAGAGCAGCACAGCTTGTCATGCTCATGTAGCTGTCTTGTCTTGTCCTGAAAACTGGCTTCTGTGTTTTGTTGTGATTTGCTGTTGTGGAGATTTGGAAGATGTCCATGTCAAAACCTCTGCTTGCTTAATTGTAAATGCAGGTTTTGCATTACACTAGGAAAATCAAAGGCGTTAAAAAGCTCCTCGATTATTTTCGTAATGAAATAAAAAGATTCATTGAGGTGTAGTATCTTAATTTTCCTGGTCTCCGGTGTAGGAGAATGTTGTTAGGACTTAATTTCCTTGCCACATTGTATTGCACAACAGCTCATGTGGTATTTCAGGCAACTTGTGAACTGTAAGTTCTGTTAGATTACACTTTACACTGTGTTCAGTGTGACTGATGTTTTTATAGAGAGGGAAAGTAACGTGATCCTGATGAGCGTTATGGGTTTGATAGTTTACCGAATAAAGCAAAGGACTTGCAGTTTCTCACCACAGACTTTCTATAAGGCTTTGTAGAAATCTCATCTTATTTCCTTTTCAGATTGGCGATGATGAACAAGGTTACGACCTGGACTTGTTCTGCATACCTAAACATTATGCAGATGATTTGGAAAAAGTCTATATTCCTCATGGGCTCATCATGGACAGGTTTGTTTGACTTCAGACAGTACACTGCTCCAGCTGATTCCATGATGCTGGAATAAACAATCTTCCAGTGATAATTTTGCTGCCTGGTGACTGTCTAAATAAATTACATTTAATTAGAGACTAAGAAGTTCAAGTGCTGATTAACTCTTTCTTGTTTGGCTTCTAAGAGCTGGTACATTTGCAGTTAATGCTATTGCTTGGAAATTTGTCATAGTTCTCAAGCAAAATTTTGTGGTATGTAGCAATCTACGACTTTCCAGTGTTTCTTTGATGTTTTACCTTCATAAAGCCTAATTAGAAGATGTTATTTGTTGTGCCAGTTCAGTCTGAAAACAATTACAGTCTCTTGAATTTTCTTATGATATTATTAAAAGTAAATTATTAATGATACCATCTTAGAATTTCTCATATTCAGATGATAGATAAGTAACACCCAGCTTTCTCCTACCTTCTGGGAAGGGCATTAGCCTCTGCAAATACCAATCTGTCACTTCTGTGGTTGCTGAAATCTGTGATGTGCTGTGGAAGTTCCATCTCATGCGATCAGAAATGGGTGCATAAGCCTACAAGGCATTTTTATTTTACTTTGTGTTTGATAGTTGCTAATTTCTCTTAAGAGAATGAACAACAAATTCAGTGAAGCAGTTGTTGGAGATACACAACCAGTTAATGGTGATGCTGGGTTGATCTTCCTGGAGTTCATGTGAATAGGAATGCATCTAGATTTTGTGTGGTCTGGTCCTGTTAGATTAAATATAATATACATTCCTATAAATTTTTTTTTCCTAATATTGTAAAAACTTTGCACTGGAAGTCCATATAGAGGAAAAAATTGGACAAAGTACATGTCATTAAGTACTTGACGTAAAGTTTATAATGGTAGTCTTTCTCTGAGAGATCTGCTGTCAGCTGGCACACAATAAATATATACACCATGCTTTCTAAAATAAATTACAAGATAAATTTAGAAACAATGATTGCAGCAAAACGGCGCAGTGTTCTCTTGCTCTGCTTCATTGGCATTGTATTTTGCAGTTAGGACAAATTTCTGGCATTCTAGCTTGGCAAATAAACCAGCTCTTTACAATTTGAAAATTTTCTTGCTCTTCAGTGAGGGCTACTGCTGTTTTGGTTGTGTTAGCTTACATTGCTCCTTGCATGGAAGCTGAACCTATCTTTGGAAAGAGAAAACACCTTCATGTTGCATATCTGGCAGTGAAACAGCTTCAGGGTGTTAGGATTTGCTTTGGCTGAGTGTGACGTAGGAAAACAAAGGCGTTTGGCAGTGCTAATGTTAGATTAACCTTGAAAAGCAAAACTTTGTTGACCAATAATGTGTAAAAGTGACTGAATTGGTAGGCAAATATTTCTGAGCAAAATGTGTTTCCAAGTTTGATGCATGTGTTTGTCACTGTTAGCAGTATGAAATGCTGCTGCTATAGTAAGCAAATTAAATGTGTTATGACAGCTAACTTTCTTGGTTTTGTATAGGACGGAGAGACTGGCACGAGAAATTATGAAGGGCATGGGAGGACATCACATTGTAGCACTCTGTGTACTCAAGGGTGGCTATAAATTTTTTGCTGATTTATTAGACTACATCAAAGCACTGAACAGAAACAGTGACAAGTCAATCCCCATGACTGTCGACTTCATTAGGTTGAAGAGTTATTGTGTAAGTATCTCTGCCGTACTGTGTAATCTTTATATAAATTTGACTAACTTCATATTATTAACAGAGGTGGTTTAGTATTGTTACTGCCAGAATGTGCTAATATTAAATAATTAAGGGAATTAAGAGTCGCAAGCTAATTTACTCTTTCTCTACCTTATTATGTAATCTATTTTGCTTTAGATTTGCATTGGTATCTCCACAGCCCAGTAAAAGCCTTATGCAGAGCAGAGACACCCTTTCCATGTCCTTTACTTGTTAAACAGTTTTCTCTCTGCCCAGTGCCCCATCTCTAGAATGATGCAGAGGATTTTCCTGCAACTTTGGTTACAAAAATCTAATTCTGAGAATTTTTATGTGGCTTAGACATCATTCGTTGGACAGGAAGACTTGAAAGCTGCAAAAACGGTTATACCAGAGTTCCCTCTCTCATCTTTGGTTTGGTTCAAGCAAACAGTGAGCAAAATTAGTTATATTTGGCCTTGGGGAAATACTATAGATTCATGAACCTAGATTTATAGTTAGTGGCCACTGAATGTGGCACTAACTTTTTGAGACTAGGCATGGTTTTACTCTTGGGTTTACATTTTTGGAAAATAATATCTTTTCATTCTGAACAATGGGATTTAACTTTATAGCAAAGTTGAACATTCTGTAACATGAGGTAACATATAAGTTTTATAGAAGGAAGTACAAGGTTACGTTGTGCAGGTCAAAGGAAGAAGCAGAGGTGTGTTAGTACTGTATGCTTCCTGACTTATCGACAGCCTAGTCTTGTGTTTTCAGGATAGTATTTATGATTTGTTCTGTAAGACCATCTGTAGCATGGAAATAATTACATTTTTTTGTTTCATTTTAGAGCGTTTGAATAAACTGTTTTGTAAGGTTATGCTGTTAGTTCTGTCTCGACAACTTTGCATTCAAGGCAGCAGTATAAACTACGTGTAGGCTATGTGTCACAGTTGTAGACGAGTGCCTATTCCAGTAGAAAAAAATAGATATTACTAAATTGGCAACTCAACCTCATCCTTCATTTCATTTAACTGTGAAATCAGAGATGGAGTTATTTGCAGACTTAAGTTTGGGCTGTCGAAGAACTTCATAAATTCATGATTGCTGTTGAGTGATCTGTTACGTTTCATGGTGAAGCCCTGAGCCACGTGAGGCTTTGGTCAAGTCCGTTTGCAAGGTGAGCAGCCCTGGGTGCCCGAGGCGCACACATAGCTGGCTGTCCAGGGGTTACCTAGAAACCACCTTCACGTTTGCTGAACAGGAGGCAGTAATTTAGCTGTGCTCTTTAAAAAGAAGGCAAGACTGGGCAGAAACGTTCATGCCAGTCTTCGGTTGTATCTCACAAGGCACTTTCTGTGTTTATGCACTGTGTTTAAATCAGTGGGCAAGAGCTGTTTGACACCCTTTCCTTCTGCTCCCCCCAAGAAATTGAGGCTCCTGCCATTGGTCTGCCTAACCACTAAGCAACCACACACCCATCTAGTCTGCCTGTAAAAGCCACAACAGAAAACTGAATGTCTCTTACAGGATAATATGTTAAAGAATAGGAAATTATGACTCCCACCTTTTTTTGGTGAGGAAATTATGTATCTTCTGCTTTCTTCAAGAATCACTTCCAATAACTTACTTGACTTGTTTAAAAAAACAATATAAAGACTACACCCTTTCACTCTCTTTGTTTTTTGGAAAAAACTATTGGAGAAATGGTTTGAAACACCTGAAAAAAAAACCCTATTTAGTTAAAAAGCAAGGCTGACTTATTATATGCATGTTTTCTTTGCTCATACTGGTGTGCTAGGCATGCTTTAGTTCATTTCTTTACTACAGCTGCTTTTGTTTATTACTCCCTAGAACTGTAGTGCTTTGATATTAATGGGGGAGTGAGCAGCAAAATAAGTTTATGTAATTTAAAAGCCTGGTTTTGTAGTAAAAATGAGTAAATGAAGAGAAAAGCAGAGACATTTAGACAGAAAGCTGTCTAAGCAGAATGTTTTCCTTGAGGTGTTGGCTTCAGGGTTGTTTTGTCAGCCAATTCCATAAAAGAATGTTTTCTTGTCCTACATGAGTGAGGAGCTCCTGTTACCTGATGCCTCCACTACAGTATTTACGAGCGTTTAATTTCTGTGGACTCTCTTACATGGTTATTAATATCCAGACTTATGTCCTTTAGACTGCATAACTTGATAGACTGGATAGGGTTGTCCTAACATGAACATGTATGTAACAGATTGACTAGGTCTCCCATCAGTAATAGTGTCAGAATTCTAAATCTGCTCTGTAATTTTTGTCTGTGCTTTACTAGGTGGAGGGATCTGCATTTAGTGATGTGAAAACTGTCACAACCTATAATGGACAGTTGAAAGTGGAGCTAGCTCTCTTGTCACTGTCTTTGGATGCAATTACTAGATCATGCTGCCTGCCTTTACAGATGGGATAAAAGATGTTAAAAATACCCTGGTCGCATAAACAAAGCAGCTGAACTTGTGCAGTGGTTCTGAAATTCATGTAATTAAGGTTCTATTCTTGTTTCAAACTGATCATTTAATATTTACAAGCATATGGGGTTTTTTTGTGTTGCAATGCAAAGTTCATACTGTTCTGCACCTAAAAATAATTCTCCCAAGAATATTGACATGATCAAGCTGTGATTAAACTTTGCTCATAACTCCAGCTTTCCTTATAGATGAATTTTAATGATCTGGCAAGCTGTTAAGAAATGGTAAGTTAGTGTTTGTGAACAGACCCAGATCTTGGTATTCTTGACAAACAGTTGATTTTGTTTGTGCTACAAGAAGAATGTCTCTTCACCAGTCTCCTGCATTTAAACTTGGAAATGAGCAAACATTGCTTATGTAGTCATGAAGGGCAGCCAAAAAACAATAGATGTGTTGCACTGTCACTTGGGAAAGTAGGGATTTTCGGTGGAGTACCTGGCAAACTCTGCTTGGGCTGCTCATGGCAGCATATTCTGAAAGATCTCTGCTAACCAAGTCTTACAGCAAATACTGTAAGGAACTTAAAATGCCTTTTTAAAAGGTGATCTTGGAGTCACTTGAGTCAGGAGTTACGATCTTGTAAAGCGTTATTGTTTTCCAGCAGTGACAATGGGGAGGCAGTGAAAACAGATCTAAACAGTAAAACTCTTATGTGTTAAACCACAAAGCATTAAAGTCTTACCAGTACTGAAATCAGAAATAATGCTCCTCAAGATAATTAAAACATTGCTTAATTATTAAACAAAGTTCTTTCCAATGGAAATCTGGTTACAGCCAGTGTTGGAAGTTCTTTAACTGTTTTTATCCTTTAATTGCTCAGGAACTCAATAGCTGCATAGGAATGCAGGTTTATATGCCAATTAAGGTTTACATTTTGTGTTAAAGAGTGTAGCAATGTGTATGGTTTTGGTGGGAAGGAGCAGGAAAATTTCTGTAGGTTAGATTGGTTTTTCTCTGATGATCATCATACTTTAATATGCTTAATCCAAAGGTTTACAGTAGCCTACAGTTTTGTGGTGCTCTTGTTTGAGTATAGTGTGTTGCTTTGTAGCCAAACAGATCATCAGGAACCTGATCTTACACATATACTGAGGAATACAAGACTGTCATCTATGCACGTAATTTTAATGGAACAAATACCTGTAATGTCTTTCTCCATCGTTATTTTGTAAGGAATGATGGTTTTTTACACCCTTCCATGGAAGGAGAATGAAATCTCTATTAGTGTAGGAATAAATAAGAGAGTCCTGTAACATAAACAAGGAAAAGCTTAAAGAAGCTGTCATTCGAGATAATTTTAAGATAGGGTGAACACAGGAAACGTCCTTTAGCTTTATGAATACAGTGCTTAACTGGATCAAATTTTGTGGTTGATCTAGCCAGTATCTCAGGCATTCAGCCATGTGTATATCTACTGGGTCAAGCAACAATCATTTTGGACATTATGTTTTTGGACTTTTTTGACACAGTGACATTGATGCTGTTTGGTTTAGTGGTTTGAACTGTTAAGGAAGCACTTAAACAGTTGAGTATCAAAAATGAGTGTTCCTTATACTAATGAAACATGGAACTTCAGTGTAATTTCAGAGTGGTGTAACTCAAACTAATGTTTTCTTTAAAACATATGGGGCAAAACTGAAAAGATACTTTTTCTAATAATTTATTTGGTTTTTTTTTCCATAGGAATCTTAAAGGAAAGTATCTGTTAGTCTTATCCTCTGCTTTTACATGCCTAGATTTGTCAACACTTCTTTATCCTAGATGGTTGACACCACTATCCAGAGGATTTTAATATGTTCTCTCTTTACTATCATCCCAGTGTTACTTATTGTGTACTTGGTGTGTGCCTCTCTAATTTGTTTCCCATTTTCTGTGGTAACATTTTTAGCTTTTGCCTACAATTCATATAGCACAAATATCTGTATGTGGTTGTCTCTCCGTTCCCTTGTGGTCCCCTCTTTATTGCATCAGTCGTGCCTGGGTTTTGGGAAGGAACTGCTGCCTTGCTGCGTGATGGGTAGTTGTGCACCACGCTTGGGCTCCAAAGTGCAGCAGCAAAACAGTATAATTTTTCTCAAAGGAAGATATGCAGGAAGGAGTTACAAGAATAAAGTTTGATAAGCAAGATTAACCTTCGACTGAAATGATTAAATTGTAGAATAATATCATCTGTAAGTAGTACAATAATAAACATATCACATCTAATATGAACTGTGAGCCACTGTCAAGGTTTAAAGTCAGATGAGTGACTTTAAATAAACGGCACAGATCTTTGAAGCACTCCTGGCAGCTGTTTTTAACTTCCGTATATAACAGTACATTTTTGTTTGTATCAAAGTTTAGTTTTACCGAAGCAAAATGTTGTGTTGTACTTATAGTGTACCTATGTTGGTGTTCAATTACTACAAGAAGTAATTTGATTTACAATATTTATTGTAAAGTAGGCAAACAAGCTTTTCTGGCTATTTTTGTAGCTCATATTTCTAAATATTAATCTGCTTTTTTGCTAGCTATTCCTGTTATTGTTACAATTGCTTATTTTTATTGAAAGAGTAAGGTTTGATAAAGCATTAAAGTTTAAGATGTAAATTACCAGCTATATAGCACCATGCAGCTTGGAAACTGAAGTGCTTTTTGTCTTATTTCTATATCTGTAGGGAATGCATAGCAAATCACATCTTTTTAGATACATATGTATATATAATGGTCACAGATGAGACATGGTGCCTGCATTTATGCAGCTGTCTTGTCAAACAATCTTTAATCTGAAATGCCATCTTTGATCACTTGTAATTTCTTAGTTAATAGACACTGGTGGCGCTGTGTTTCTGAAAGCATTAACGTTCGCTGTTTATGTACTTTGCAGTTTTGATATTTACTGGAAGAAAAAATTATTTTAATTCTCTTGATGCTAATGCTTCCCCTCCTCTTTCTTAGAATGATCAGTCAACTGGAGATATAAAAGTCATTGGTGGAGATGACCTCTCAACCTTGACTGGAAAGGTATGGCTCATTGTATGTTTAAAAACAAACCAACCAACCCACTAAAGAATCCACATACCTGCATGGGTTTAAGGCTGCTCATTTATTGTGTGAAGATTATAGAGTTTTAAAAAATGAAAACAGTAGAGTTTCACTTAAATATTTGCCACTGTATACTAGGAGAGTGGATAAGCCCCACCCAAGCTGTCAGTTTAGTCTGAACTTAACCAAAAAAACCCCTATTCACCATCTTCAGTATCAGCAGAGTTTTAGGAGATACATTTTTCTCCAGTGCCTGAGAAGAATAATCTTGTGTGGGTTGTTGTCTGCAAACTGCCTTTAAAAGAGAGCGCCATTATTTCTTTGCTGTATTGGTGTTTGACTGAAGTAGTGATGGGAATTGATGCTGTCAGGATGTGTCATGTGCAGCCCAGGTTAGGAACGGAGGTTCCCGTTACAGGCAGTGCCGAGAGAGGGAAGTGGGAGAATGTAAATAGGGAATTTGCTTTTCTCCAGTGACTCTACAGACAACACTGAGACAGATGTCTGGGGTTAAGCAGCATTGCCTCCTGCTCCGTCAGAACACGTTGCTTCCCCCTTCTCCTTACACATTTTTGATCTTTAAGGCATGTATGTCACAGTTCAGTATAAATGATGTAGGTATGACAGGATCGTACGCGTCTATAGCATGACACTCTTTGCTTTAGAGGAATACGAATTGTGTAGACTCTGTTTTGATCTCTTCTGCATATATCTAGAATTCTCAAAGTCTGAATTATTTAAAGACCACTTTGTACTCAGCATGAGACTTTGAGGAGAATCTCATTTCCAGTTAATTGTTATTAGAGCATTAGAAATGTTAACTACATAGAATTCGCTGTTACGTGTATAAACGTACATAAATGGTGGTACAAATACTTAAATGCAGTGAAAATGAATGAATTGTAGAGATTAATATATATAAGAAATGGCATATTCTCTAGATATTAATGGATTTTTTGTTTTTTTTTTTCTTTTGTCTTTTTATTCCCACCAGAATGTTTTGATCGTAGAAGTAAGTATTACATTTCACTTTGAAGTTCTAATGTGTGACTGGTAAAAGAGTTTTGATAGAAGTTGTTCTTAAGCCAGAAAACCTACAGTTTATGGTGGCAAGGCTTCTAGCTTCTGATTCCAGGCCTAAATTTTGCAAGTGGGCTCTGAATTTGAAATTGCCTGTGTTTTGAATTCTCAAATTGCATTCAGCTGACAAATTTAACAAGGAAAATATCCATGTAAAATTGTTTGCATTTACTTTGAGTTTTTTGGGATTCTGTCAATTCTAAAATGTTGTCTTTTTTTAATTTAAAAAAAAAGTCTGAACAAAGTGTTATTAAGCATGTTATTGTTCTGGGCTTATAACAGCAAGCTAGAAAATGAAACTGCAGGGGTAGAAATAGGTTCCTGGTAGGAATATCCTAAAGTATATGAAAAACAGTACAATGTCCCTGTGTATAATTTGTTTAGAGAACAGTGACATAGAGAATGCTAATTCCTAATTAGCATTTTGCAGTTGCTAAATTTCCATTCTTCTGTCCTGTCATGGTTCTTTGGATGATACCAGGTACAGTACACCTCAGTTTGATTTCCTAGTGGGTTCAGATTTTTGATTTCCTAGTTGCTTTCAGACCTCTTTCTTGATGGACAGTGTTGCTTATGTTCAGTAAGTATAGCTTTGACAAAGGATATTGGTGGGTAAGATTGCCAGTTTCAGGATAGGGAAGCATCAGCAGTAGGCAGGAAAAATAGATGTGCAAGCTACTAATGTCTTAAGGCTCCACATAATGGAAATGGCTTTGTTTGTAAGCAAAGAAACAACTATGGCAACTGATTCAGCAGCCAAAGGGAAAGATGTTTCCTCTGTCATAAAATATGTGTTCTATGTATGGGCTTTTTTTATTTAGTTTGAGAGATTATATTATTCCACAGGAAGCACATTCAGTTCCAAAACTCTTACCAAAATAATATGTATACAGCAGTCATCTGTGTGACCAGTGGTGTCCTTTGAAGTATATTTTGCTTCAGATAGGCAGATGCATTTAATTATGTATCTGCTCCATTTCAGATGAATATATGTCTTTAAAGCCCCAGACAGCTAACTAGGTTAGTTTCTCATTTGTTCAGTGAATCATCTATCCAGTGACTTGTCTTATACACTGTCAAATAGGAACCCTTCTACCGATCACCATTTTAAATGTCAAACAATAAAAATGCACATTTATTATTTATTGTAGGTTTAATATCTTGTGCACCAGAGCACTGGGCTTTTCTATACCTCATCCCTTTAATGTGGGGGAAAAAAAAAAAAATAATTTCCAATAAAGAGATAATCAGACAATACAAAATCAGTAATAGGGTCTGTCTTTAGAGTACAGAAGTAGCTACTTGTGTTTATTGGCCAACTTTTATTTATGTATCTGTATATCTTTAACTTTTCTTGAGTTCATAATCATGACTAAAAGCATGAAGTGTTAAGGACAGTATAGCTGACGGGGTGCTCTCTTGAGTTTTTTTGTTTGATTTTTATTTTAATTGGGAGTCATGGGAAAATAAGTTGAAACCAGGACATTGCTGCTTCTGTGTTATCTACCTCCTTCACTTCAAATAGATTTGATTTCAGACCAGGGTAAGGACTGTTCCTCTAAAGGTTGTGTGATTATTTCAGGCCAAATGTGGAATCCACTTGTGATGTTCAGTTTCAAGCCATATATTCTTTTTTTCTGCTTGTATGTGCAGTGGATGGGACTCAAATGATGTGTCAAAATTCGTTTTAACGTGTTTGAATATTGACTTTAGAACTGCACCCAGATACTCGCACTGCAATTTCCTTGGCTATTTCTTGGATCTGTAATGTAAATTACACTCCTTTAATTGCAGTAATTAGTTGTTCTGCCTATTTTCCCTTCTTGCTTTTCTTTCTGTTGTATACATCTGTCTCTGTAACTGAGCTCAACAGCAAGACTAATGTTACTCTTATCATATTCAAATTAAACATTGCTTGTCAAATAGCTGCAAGAAGCACAAGCCATAAAATCTCCAAAAGGAGCCAGGAGGGTCATAGTTCAGTAGCTGCTTTCAAAGTCATAGTTACCCACAACAATTAAGAACTATTGTTAATGTGTGTGATCGCTCTGTGTAAGCACATGGTGTTACATGTCAACTATATTTGATTATGAACAGTATTTTGGCATATTTTTGTGCTAATGTGGATGAGCAATTTCTGTGGTAGAAATGCTACTCTAACATGTTTAATTTTCTTACTTGAGATTTTTATTTTTAGGATATAATTGATACTGGTAAAACAATGAAAACATTGCTGTCTCTACTTAAGCAGTACAATCCAAAGATGGTGAAAGTAGCCAGGTAAATTTTTAATGATGGTTATTTGTGCTGTATTTCAACTTAAGAAGGACACACAGTGTAAAAAACCAAACCAAACCAAAAACCCCAAAAAAACCCAAACAAAAACCCACAAGTATAGAATACATTTTGGTGGAAGAGAAATGGGAGGGAGCATTTCTGCTGGAGTCACATATGATGTGATCTGTTGGAGTTTAGTATTTGTTTAAACTCCAAAACCACTTTTGCTTGTTATGAGAACATAGGTTCGTTAAGGCTGTCAGAAACACTGTGTTCTTTCCAGTCTCACTGCTGGAAGAATTTCAGTGCTTCAGAAGGGGATAGCTTGTACATGTCTTGCCTTATCATGTTATGGTAAAGCTTGTGGGGGTTTCACCACTGAAGTCCAAGACAAGCTGAGAAGTATATGGAAGATTTTAAGTCTTCTGGGCTTAAAAAAATACCCTCTCAAATTGGTGGAAGTATTTTCTACACAAATTCAGTTCATAAATGTAGACTTTTACTAGGGATGGAGATAAAAAGTGAGTGGTTGTCACTTACGTACGTGTAGTATCTATCCAAACATGTTTGTTTCTGCTTGCACTATCTGCCACTTCAGTATACTGCAGTGGTGTACTTCTGCAGCAGAGACCTTTTTTAGTTTGCCTTCTTTAATTGTAGAATTAAATTAGTTTGCCCACTAACAATATTGTTTGTGTAGTGTGCATAGTGCAGCTGAGCTTTAGAGGTCATTCTGTGAGAGTCACCCAGCCATATGCTCTTTCAGGCTTTTCTACTTAGTTACATCTTTAATCAGTTAGTTTCAAAACATTTTATAATTAAATCACAAATAACAAGAAATTTTGAGGATAATATTATATTATTAACTGATATCAACATTCTTCCTGCTTATTTTTAAATAGCGTCTTTTATGCTGCTATGCTGCGGTTGTGTATTTTACAATAAAAGTATAATGATTGCTGGGGATTAGAGATAAAGCAGAGCTGTGTGTAATATCTAATCAGTTGTGTTGCCATAACAATGTCAAAGCAGTTGTTAGACGTACAAGAACAGCTCTTCTTGCTGATAATCTGGAGGTGATTTGCTAAGGTGAGGTGGTTTAGGATTTCTCCCAGATTAAGTGTGCCAAATTTTAAACATTTGTCATTGAATAGTGCCCTCACACTGCAGCATCCATCATGAATATCACATAGTATGAGCAAAGTCCAGTTTCTTATTCTTTAAACCCATTGCACTAATTTGGGTCTGCTAAAGACCTGAGCAGGTAAACATGATCGTTCTCAACAGTCTTAAGTGTAATGTTCTTAGTTACTTCAATTGCCTCTTTCTTCTCTTTTTTTTTTTTTTTTTTTGTTGTAGCAGGGAGATGTGAATTAATGCTAATACAATTTTGGGGTTTCTTTGATCAAATTCTATACCAGTTCTCAACAATTAAATGTCACAATTAGAAGTTTCAGAAACTGTCTAAAATTGAAACTGTCTGACAAAAGAAGCCCCACCTTCGGGGTGGTCCAGGAGGGAAGGAGGTCTATGCTTAATGCACAGAGTTATGCTGACCTCTGTCTTTAAATTCAGCCATCGACCACCTTTTCTTTCCTCCCAAAGCCTCTGTATCTCAAAGACAGACAAATGTCAGCCCTGTGGCTTGTCTTCTAAGAGGTAGAAGTGCCCAAATGAATAATGAGAGAATCAAATTAAACTAGCAGGACATTTCTCTCTACAACAGTACCCTCAACTCTGTATCTCCATGTTTTTTTACACCTCTGACTATTAATTCTGGAAAAGTGGATCTCGTTTGTATCACCTGATCAGAACCAATTACATTTTCTTTACAGGGCTAATGAGTACTGCCAGTGAAAAACAGTTAAGGACACGTTGCACAAGTGCAATTGAGGTTGCATTTAAGCAGCTGAACTTTTGCTTCATAATACTAAATCTTTTGAAAAGAGCTCGGGTGGTCTGATCAGATCCCAAGTTTGTCTCTTTACCTATAAGCTAAATTGCACTTGAAGTTCCTAACACGCATAAAACCCCATTACCTTTTCACAATAAAACCCCATCCATATCAGTATTTCCTAACCTCTTTCTTGCAGACCCGTTAGTTGCCCTTTAGGCTTTGAACCAGTCATGATTCTAGAAAGTTTTGATTTTGTCGTTATGATAAGCTGCACCTGCAAATAAAGTAATAATTTAAATCATGAGTAATTATGATGTCAGTTATGCACATTTAGGCCAAATTCAGCTTGTCTGTCATCAAAACAGTCTCATACATTTGTACGCAATGCTTTTCCATGTTTCAGTTTTACACTTGTTTTATTTGACAGTTTGTTGGTAAAAAGAACTCCTCGAAGTGTGGGATATCGGCCAGACTGTAAGTGACTTTTTGACAACCATTATTAATTTTTAAAAGTATGTCAGTGTATTGTGTATCCCTTGGTCAGAGTCCAAGGATGTTCCAGATAAGTTTTCACTGAAGACTTGATAGATTTTCCTCTTAAATATTTGGAAGGTATTTTGACAGAGTTAATCTGGATTTGATCTGATCCTTTTTTCTTTTAACTTATTGTAACATTTTACTACATGAAAAGGAATCTTTGATGTTTTGGTGCAGGTTACAGCCTCTTCATGTGCAAATTCTCCCAGCTTGCATGTAGTCAAATGCTTTGGTCAGCAGAATCTGCTGGATTCACCTTTGACGCTTTTGGGATTGATTTGTGTGCCTAAACCTGGCCACCTCGTGCTGTTTGGATGTCCCCAGGAACGCAGGAAGACCACATGGGTAGCAGTTCAGATACAAGTTTAGAGTGATAAAATGCCTAAATTGGCCCCAAACCAGTTATGTCTAGGCATCTGAATTACTCCCTTCCCGTCTTCTCCTCTCTGTCCCAAAACCATAAAGAAGGGAATAGCATCCACACCCAACAGTGGTACCAGAGTGACAGCTCCTCCTGCCTTGGGAGGGGCTATGTGTTTTAACCCTGTTCTGGACACTAAATTCCTGTTAAACTGGACTGTATACTTTCACCATGGAAGTGGAGTAAATTTAGCAGCAGAATCACATCTTCTTCCTCCTCTTTTCCAAGGTTGTGCGGTATTCTGGAACTGAAGTTTTTCAGTGCCTTAAAGCTTAATTGAGGTGTGCCCCTCAGTCAGGATGCCCCTCATTCCTGAGATCTTATTATAGGCTTAGCTGGGTTAATGGTCTGCCTTTCGAGCATCTTGCAGCAGATGACTTGTTTTGCCATCTGTCCACAGAGAAAACCTGCTCAGTGCAGGACACGTGAGCCCTGAAAGAAGAGACAACAAGGCACTAATGGCTGGGCCTCCATTTTATCCCTGTGTTGTGAGGCCAGGTAGACGCTAAACATTGCCTTAATTTTTCAAAAAGTGCACACAGCCTTTTCTTTGAATTGTACAATTTTTCTCTCTTTATTTTCCTTACAGACCCTCACTGTAGCCAGGGAAAGAAAGACCATGCAGCCTTCCTGTGCTCAGGGGTCTTTCATTTTAGCATGAGGGGAGAAAGCCATTTGGAAATCTTATATTTTAAATCCTTTAATATTTTTTGGTCATTTTGTAGAGTGTGTGGACAGGTTGGACTGATACTGCCTGCCCACTCATGAACTGTCCTGCTACAGCTGTGGAATAGCTGATTTCCTCTTTTTAGGCAGCTTCTCTGGGAGGAAAAAACCACAACCAAACACACCAAAAAAATCCCAAACCAACTGTTTCTGAAACCTGCAAGTGATTCCATAAAGAACAAAGTGCTCTTTACTCTTCACTATTCTCTACACCATGGAATCAGCATCTAAGACGTGCTTCAGCAGTCACAGTATATTCTTACATATCAGGTCATTGCCTGCCAGTTGCAAGAGTGGAGTCCATGTAGGCAGTTACTCAAAGGTGAAGGATTGGTTTTCCTGCAATAACTGCGGTTCTGATATTCACATTACTCTGTGCTTACTCTCCCAGCTCTTCACAGAGTTCTATTGGACTTGCAGATCCACAGTTTTGCAGGAGCTGATGACTGAACCAGCCTTCTCGTTACGCCTTTGGGTACCTTCCTGCAGCCCTGCCCGAGGCACGGGCCCAGCTCCCAGCGGTGCTGCCTTTTGAGTGATACTGTGAGGGTGACTTGTGCTGTGCTCACTAGTTCCACTGCTTCTGCACTGGCATGTCGAGCATCTAGGAAGTTCTGGGGAGCATTGGCTCTTTTTGTATGTATTTACAAACTTGCAGGAAATTTTCAAGGAATTTTACGTTCTGATAATAATACCCTGTTTGTAGATTTAAGTGCTTCCATTCATTTCTTGCAGACTGCATGCTAGCACCATGCTGCTGCATGGGAACCAATAAATGCATCTATTTAATTTTGCTTCAGTTGATAAATTAAATCCACAAAGTAAGTTAAAATTTTAAAATAGCTCAAATATTAATTTGAGGGTATTTGAGTGGAAGAAATAAAATCGGTTAGGATGCTTACATATCTATAAAGTTCCAGATTGCCTCTATAAAAAGGTCCAGTGAACTCTAGGAAGTTATTTTCTAACATACTGGTGACTTACGGTCTTTTTCAGTTGTTGGATTTGAAGTGCCAGACAAATTTGTTGTGGGATACGCCCTAGATTACAATGAATACTTTAGAGATTTGAACGTAAGTAATTTTTCCCGTATGTTTTTGTCCATTTAAAACTAGGGAGGAGGAAGGAAGGGAAGTCTCCTCACATCACTCTCCCTCCTCTGTAATCGTGCCTCGTGCAAATCTGTTCTGTCGGTGGTGCAACGATGAGAGCAAACACTAGAGCAGCAGGACAACGTTCTGGAGCTCTCATGAAACTAAAATTTATTTTGCTGCATGCAGAATGGAGGCTACACATCTCCTGTCAACTGTGAAATAATGCGAAGTTTGTGTGAAGCTTCTTACCAGATGTCTACAACCAAGAAGTGCATTTGCTTAGTTATTGTAAGAGTTAGAGAAGAGACCTTGGGAGTTAAGAGGGGTTCACTTTTTATTCTAAGTCTTTAATTCTTCATCTGGGTCTCACCACGCATTGGGTGGGACAATTAGCAGGGGGAGAAAGAAGGCAACGTTGAGATTTTTAGACAAAAAAAGGCTTAAGTTTTTCTGCATAAACAGTATCACAGCATTCTTTTGTACTGAAATGTCTATAGCATGCTTGTATTTTTTTCAGAAGCACGTTGTTGACTATGGATGTAAAACATAGGTCTCCAACATTACTTTTCTAACAGGAGCTTTTTATTTTATTTTCTTTCAGCATATCTGTGTGATCAGCGAGACGGGGAAGCAGAAGTACAAAGCGTGAAAGCATAGTTCAAGTGCTATGACAACAGAGCTTTGAAATGTTTTGTTTACCGAGTCCTATCTTTCACAGGCTTCACCTCTGGTACACCAGCTAAAATTGTAGAATGCCCCAGCCCCATTGTCATATGCTTACTATAATTTATTGCATGTACATTATAAGAGCTCATTTTGTTCATTTATATTTGAGAGATGTAAACAACCAGTGCAGTTCTGCACTCCTTATTTTGATTTGCACTATGACTCTACCGACTATTGCTGCCCCTGGTTGGGTTGTGCTATTTGTGAGCTCCAGAGTCTAACTCTTGCAGTGGTAAATTGCTTAAACCTCATCAACCCAGAACTGAAATAGTTCAAGTACTGTAAATGTAAAACATTTTATGATAGGGAAGTCTATTAGTAATATTTTTAAAATCTGTAATTTAAGTTTTATATTTTAATGCACAGGTATGCTTGTGATTAATGGATAGTTGCACCTTTGGGTGTTATAAAGCATGAGGAGCAGCCAGTTACAGTATCTGTAATCTCCAAGGAGCTCATTCAAATCTCCTGGAGTTGCCTTATTGCTGTAAAGGAAGTCCAGGTGAAAAATGTCTTCTTTTTTTCTTTTTTTTTTTCTTTTTTTTTAAAGGAGATGGAATGACAAAACAGAATGTTTAAAATCTAGTTTTAGTTGAGCTGCCTGTTTCTGTTATTTTTTTTCTTTAAAAATATCCATCAGTCAGTGGAATTGCCTTTTAAATTTAAACAATTTTAATATATTTGTGGAAAAAATATTGTAATGTTTACTTTATAAGATCTACAAAACAAAGTACTTTAAATAAAGGCTGTCTCTTTAAAATAAGCCCCATACATCTATGCCACTCATTCTGTATATTAAAGTGCTCTTGAAATTTTCTTCTCGGCAATATTTTTCATAAGTTTTTTTGACAGTGAAGGCAGACTCTACATTTGTTATCTTTGTAGATCTTTTGGTTAATGTTATCCTATCTACGAAAGAGATTATAAAGTGCTGAGGAAAAATATTGAAACACTTGCATATTTTATAAACAAACTAGATTTTGGAGAAAGTGGTTTAAGCACTGTCCTCTGTTCTGTTTTGGCAAAAATGAAGAGTGGAGATTATATGTTCATTAAACATATATATGTGAGGAAAAAAACCAACCCACAACCATTTTGTAAGTAATCATTTGGGTTTGTTTCATTAACACCTCTGTTCCTGTCGGGTTTAATTCTAAAGGTGACAGCCCATCTCACACCTCCTCCTTGGGCCGTGCTTTTCAGTCCCTTAGCTGACAGGGTTCTTGTACTTCTGTGCATGGATTTTTCCACTGTATGCTCAGATTTAACGCTGCTCAGTGCTCAATACATAATGAAGTTTTTGCCAGCCTGTTTTGAAAGATTTTTCTGTGGTTTTGAAGTTTGAGTCACATTTCTGTACTTTTCCACGTGCTGCGCATTGTTGTCCATCCATGGTGTGTTCAGTTACAACTGTAATAGTTAGCAGCAGACCTAAAATATGAATAATTCACCAGTGTAATTTAGATCAAATGACCACACCGTGTAGGAAATCTATTTGTAAATCAAAATCCTCATTAACAAATATTAGAACACTGGTCATGATTATCCTATACTTTTGCAATGTTATAGTTAATGTTCCAAAGAGCTTTTTTTCTAAATGCACTACAAAGACTGATTGTATTTCTTGATGTCCTAAATACTGTTTGTGTATTTGCCTTTTCAAGAACCTGTACTATCCCCGGGACAACTTGTTGCAAAAATATGTGATGCGTTTCCAAGAAGAAGAAACACAAAAGTAACATATATATATAGAATATATATATATATATATATATAAAAAATATAAACACACTTGAGAGTTATTATATCCGCTCAAGTTTATGTTCGTTCTGGTTGAACTTAAGACCTAATCTTAAAAAGTAGTGTGTTCTTCAACCTTGTTCATAATTCCTACTTCACAATGTGTTTGTTTTATAATAAATTCATGGCACCTAGAGATTACATGAGAGAGGTGGCTTAAAAATACCTATTTACGCATGAAAACAATGAGAATTTATGATGTTCGGTATCTTTTAGGACTAAACCCTTAAGTTAGTCTATCCTGAAATGTTTTCCTATCTTGGTTAAGATGGTTATTCAAATGTTGTGATTTGGGAAAGGGAGGAGAGGTTCAGTTAGTCATAACAAGGGGGTTTATCCTCCAAACCGGGGCTGGAGCAGGAGCCTAGGTCTGCCTTCTAACAAACCTCGTCTCTGCCTGTTGGAAAAGGTCGATATTTTAAAAAAAAGTCTTACTGAATGTTCCCACATTTCAAATGCTGGGGAACAGGCCCTTCCTTCACATGGGCGCGTGTCAGATGGAGTTTCTCACCCCAGAGGGATTCATTGTTCGAAAGATCTTTCTATGAAAATTGTTCAGAGAAAAAGTTACCCCCTCTCTTGCCCTTGCTAGAACAGTTCTAACATACTGCAGACTTTTACAGCACCTGTGCATGCGCTACAGGAAGATAAATTCTCACTTGGAAAAATTTGAAAATGCAATTGTTAATTTTTATTCAGTAATTTTGGTTAAAAGAGTGGGGTTTTAGTCACACCTTTGCAAGTTAAATGCCAACTTTATGCAGCCCAGACATAGGTTGTTAAAGCATTATGAAAGCACAGAGAAAAATCTTGTATTTGAACATTTATGTGGCATTTGAAATTCATTATAGTTCCACATTTTATGAATCACAAATGTATGCTGGAAAAATAATGTTGAATATTTATAGGCTTTACTATACTGTCTCACCCTGTGACATCTGGCATTTCTGTACATTTTGATGATTCTCGCCTGCTGCAGACCATGGATGCTGCCTGACTTGGTACCGCAAACGTGTAGCTCTGGTTTGGAATGTTTATTCTTCTTGCTTAAAATGCACACTGATCAGAATCTAAAGTGTTTTAGACAGAGCTGGGAGATGTGGTGAAAATTCATTACGTGAACTGAGCTGGCAGTTCACTTGGGGGGGTGGATCCTGGTTTTGAAAATTGAGGCAAACGAGGATCTTCAAGTTGCCTTGTAATTATATATCCTGACTGATTAAATGGTGGTGGTGTTTCTTTGTCTATTATGCTCGGAAAATCCTGTCAAGCATGCACTGATCCAGCAGTGAGGATCTGACACTACTTACAGGGAGCTGGTTGCTCACGATTTATTAAAGGACTGTTTCTGCTGTCTCTGACTGCCTTTAATTCCCATTCAGGTCCCACCTTGCAAGATCAGATCTCAGCTGTATGCCAATACCTTGATAAGCAAATGAGACATCACAGTGGTCTTTTTTTTTTTTTTTTTAATGTTTAAGAACTTTAAGCTTACTTAATTTCACAGCAGATGTAGTTTGATGACTATTCTGATGGGGAAATTAGTTCCTAGGTCTGTAAATATACCAGTTCCCCGTAAGGTCATGGTCATTGCAGACGCTGAGGTGAAGATGTTAGGGCTAGAAAAGCACAACGATTCAGGATGCTGTAAGAATGGGCAGTGAGGCGTTTCATCCCTAGGGGAGCTGAGAACGGGCTGGCGCTAGCAACTGCCAAGTGATCAAAGGCAGGTGCAGAGTGTGTGCTGGGGATATGTTTGACTGGCTGCAAAGATACTCCTGTGCACAGCCTGTCCCAGGGTAAAACACCCCCTGGCGAGCTGAAACGTCGCAGAAGGTGGAAACCCTCACAGAACCGGGTAGGAGCAGCAGGCCTGGGACGGTGAGTAAATCCAGCTGCAGGTAGGTTAACCTGTTCCACTGAGAGGCTGGTATTTATCTAACAAGTGATTATTCGTGGCATCTTTATTTTTTCCCCCGCTATAACCAGAAAGGGAACCAACCATCTTGTCTCTTCTACACTACCTACAGCAAACTGCTATGCGGGTAAGCTACAACTTTGGGCATTAAGTGTGGGTTTTTTTCTTTTCCCAGACAGTCTGTGCCCTCCTGCAGGTAGTGATTCCCCCGCCCCTGCCCTTCACAAATGTCAGGAAAATACCCCGAATGATAGAGACGGTATAAATAAGGAACCAGCTATTAAATAAAGAACTGTTTCCAACTCCAGTCCCCGCTCTGTTAGGTACGCTTTTACAGCTGGGTGCCTTTTCCAAACTGATCTCAGGAAATCTCAGAGCACCAGAGTGAATGCTACAGGATGGCTTTTGGAAGAGACTTGGACAAAACTAACTTCTCCCACAACATCTTGCTACGCGCAGCAGTGAAGTAACGCTATTTCACCTGTTCCAACACTGCCACTGAAGGCACCGTGTCTCCCCATCAATTTTGCACGGGAGCGTGTGCCAATGCCCCGTACGTTGTGTGGCAGCCGTGGATGCTGGCGTGGGGCTGGGTTTGCTCCTCAAGCCCCTGTGCCCACCGGGAAGGCCACCCTCTGCCGCAATGCAGCCTGTGAAGCAGCTGGGGCAGGGTTTGCCATAAGCACTAGGTGCTGGCTTAGCTGACCTTCAGTGCAGAGAGGGATAAAATCCTTTTCCCTGGAAACAGACTTTCTGGGTATTAACGAAATGTGTTGCCTTTCCTGAGCTTTCTGCTGGGTAACCTGTGGCGCCTGGGAAGTGCCAGATCTGCGATGCCAGTGTTGGTGCCAATGCTTCACCTGCCTGTTCCCCATCTGAGGAGCTGGGACATGCTAAGTCAGGGAGGAGGGGGTACTGGAGGGGGGGTGAAGTGTGTGTGCTGTCTCTTATACAC